AGCAGCCGAAGCGGCTGAAAAAATTAATTTAGTTCATGGACCCGATACTGTAAATAAACGTTTAGCACAAAAGTGGTTTGCTAGGTTCCGTTCCGAAAATTTCAATGTCAAAGATGTACCAGGTTTTGCTGTGTGTTTGGTGATATTGGCAAGGAATCACCTGCTAAGAGCTGCCCCCCTAAGGCCAAACGCTCAATTCGGCCCTCTACTGCCAACAACTGGATCGCTTGAAGGCAGCACTCATCCAGAAGAGGCCATATTTGATCAACAGAGGCCGAATTGTATTTCATCAGGACAGCGCCAGCACCAAATGATTACCATCCATGGCGAACGCCAAGGTACATGCATCACCTACTTTGCAAAATATGGTCGTACGAAATCGTGCTCGACGATTGAAATCTAAGTATGCTCTGCCCAGTTCACAAAAAGAGCGATTGCTCAATCTGCTCCAATTACTGTGGGATAAGCCTCATTAATATCCCATATAAGATTCAATTCATCGAACTAAGTGAAGAAATTTGGTATCCCCACAAAATTTATGAGGCTGTGTAAAATGATGTTAAGCAACACCAAAAGCTCTTTCAGGATCGCGAAGGGGGTTTCAGACAGAGTGGTTCCTTATCGTATAACTTCTTTAATATATTGCTGGAAAATATTATAAGAGTTCCAGAGCTGAATAGTGAAGGTACACTATTCTATAAAAGCCTACAACTGCTGACGTACGCCGAAGATATTAACATTATTAGCCTTAACAACAGCGCTGAGGGGTTTGCTTTCTCCAGACTCGATAATAAAGCGAAGCAAATGGGTCTGGTAGCGAACGGGGACAAGACGAAGTATCTACTGTTATCAAACAAACAGTCATCACATTCGCGAATCGGCCATTGGCGCCAAACAGCGAAGAGAAGATTGAATGGCTATAATGAAGAAGAAGAAGTTTTATCACATAACTTACATACAACAAAATCGAGTAAAAAGATTTTTTGATTATCTCGACATTAAAGCCACCTGGTTGTACACGTAATACATACGCTCTTCAAATTTTTGTAAATTTTTTGAGTTAAGTAAACTTTATTACTAAAACTGTATTCATTTTTCAAACGGTGTGTTTCAAAAGTTCATATTTTTTAAATGTCCAAATTGATACGGGTTTTGAGCTAACTAACCTCTTATATTTATTTTTCTTTATTGCTTATTACTTAATTCTCAACAAATCGATCGTTTCACAAGTTCATATTTTTTATAAATGCATGAAAATTTGTTTGTATACGAGACTACTTTGTTTTGAGATTATTTTTCAAACCGTGTGTTTCAAAACTTCGGGTTTTGAGCTAACTAACCTCTTATATTTATTTTTCTTTATTGCTTATTACTTAATTCTCAACAAATCGATCGTTTCACAAGTTCATATTTTTTATAAATGCATGAAAATTTGTTTGTATACGAGACTACTTTGTTTTGAAAATTGAAATAATGTCCCAGATATTATGGAAAATAAAACTTGGTTGGGATCTCTAAAATACAAATCTAATTACATAAAATCTTGAAATGGTTCACCATTAGCCCCAACTGTAGATTCGTCGACCGACAAGTGCTTATCTACACTACAAAAAGTTCAGCGCTTTTTAAACAGCCATGTTTCACAAGTTCATAATTTTCTGCGAGTGATTTGTAATTGAACGAAATACTATTAATACTATTAAGGTAAGCAAGAAATGATAACTTTTTTGCATTTGTGCATAGAAAATTTTATGTCAAAGTGTGGAGAACATGCAAAAAAAAATCATTCCTAAATCAAAAATCCAGCGAAATACTCGAACTCATCAAAAATGAAGTGAAAGAGAAAATATGGAAAGATTTCACTTATGAAGTAAGCTTTTATTCCAGTGAGGCAGCTTTTCACAAATAAAAATCTTCAGTCTACTGTACTACTAGTCTAATTGTCCCATTAGCAAAAAATTTCGGCGGAGACTGACCTCTGATAAATTTCATAAGCCAGAGAGTACTTGGTAGGTACTGAGGCCTTAAACCAAATATATACACGGCAGTTATTAGACTAATACTAATATATGGACCATTCGTTTATTGGTCGGTATTACAGAAATAGTAAATTAATAAACACAGAGTTATGGAATGAGATTATTTGAACCCAAAAGGATTTTGACGAATTTCAAAAGTTGTCAACAATTATAGGAAGCCACTGAACTCGCTGACAGATCAACTCTGCGTTTCCGACTGTGTGAACATTTTTGATCACGAAGCAACTGACGACTCAAGCCCAAATGACTTACATTTCTTGACGAATCTGAAGCGGATATAATAACATTTCCTTTAGGAACGACAACGAGAGAGCCGTACTTGGAAATAGAAACTGTAAGGTAACGAAACACATTTGGCTCAAGGTAGACAATTCAAGAACGAAGAACATATTCAGGTCACGAAAAAGTATTATATATTCGTGCATACGCTTGCCAGCTGCAATAATAATCCACTAAACGGCTCTTGTGATCTGTATCTCGTTCTATTAGCGCCATTGGATTACGTTATATGACGTTTAAAAAATGATATTTTGTACTAAAAAAGATAATAGGAGCAATGTTAATCACTTAACTCAGTAGTGTTTGAGAGCATGTAAAAGATGAACACCAACAAATAGAAGTTATGCTACTTTCTACAATTGTGATTCGATGCACAGGGCACGCTGTTGGTAATGTGGGCAGTGTTTATGGGTCTGATACTGTAACAGTCAATCAGGCACAATCGGTAATTTTTATGTAAGCGATGATCTAAGGTTTGGAAAGCAAATTTGCGAATTCTGATCTGCGAATTGCTCCTAAATCGTAACAAATTCGAACTGCGAATTCTGTAGCGGATGCGAGTGTTGATGAAAAGTAGATTTACTCGCGGTAATGTCAAAGAAAAGCAGTCGTGGTCGAAGGGCAGTGAGCCGCCACATACGGTCTCCAACCCAGCATTGATCGCTAAAAGATCTTTTTAATGTGTTTAGTCTGATTGACAGCGACTCTTAATTCGGACCTGAAGGAACCTATGGCTCAAAAGTGCCTAGCTTTGCGCGACAGAAGGAAGAATTGTGTTTCATTGCAATAACCCCGGACCACAAACATTGGATAGTGACTCGCCAGAAGCTCGGCGGCGTTGGTTGGGAGATTCTCATTTATACACTTTATAGCACCAAGTGATTACTATCTGCTCCTATTTATAGCGCACAAATTTGGATGGTGAAAAATTGGCCTCAAACGAAACCTATGAAAACCGATTCTCCCAATTTTTTGCCAAAAGGACAAATATAAGAAAGGCAATGATCGCATACCTTCAAAATGGCAAAAATTTATGTCTGCATATTTGACAAAAATCGAATAATTCTAACTATGGTAAATAAAGTCTTCAATTTAAACAAAAACAATGGTCTACTTTTTACTAGACCAAATATATTATAATTATAATCACTAAATATAAAATTATTATATTTAAAATCATAATACCACTAAAAAATATAAAACTACAGCAATTATTGCAATCGGTTCGGAAACCAAAATTGCACAGGTAAAAGCAATTCGGCAAATTTTAAACCGATAGATGGCGCAATACTCGAGTAATAGCCGGGTTCCTCTATAAAGCATTCAAAAAAGTCGAAATTTTTTCTGCAAATTGGCAGAAAATACTTTTAAAAATAGTATAGAATTAATCCCGAAGGTTCGCAATACCAAGAAGTCAGTTTAGAAGATGGGTGAGCAAAGCGCGCCAAGCGTTAAATCCGGCCGCCCGAAAAGTTTTTTTTTCGAACCCACGTTTTTTCAACTAGACGACACTCTTATTTAGTACCTGTTGAACTTAACAACATGAACTAAATGGCAGTCTACTCCTAAAATGTCTCCCTATTGTCGATTCTACAACCAAAAATATTCACTGTTGTTTAAAAAATTTATGAAAATTAAAATTGAAAAAATGCAAAAAAAAAATAAAAAGGTTCGCCATATTTTTTTATTTTTTTATTTTTTTATTTTTTGTAAAAATATTTTATTGTAGCTCCTGCCATAGCCAATGTGTTACAAAAAAAGGAACCGTTTTGATTTTTCACTTTCAGATGACTTACTTTGCAGTTATCGTGCCACTCAACAACAAAAGGGACGTTTTCAGCAGCTATTTGAAAAGCCGCCATTAAAAGGAAATAATTTTATTATATTTTTTTTTTTCAAATAATATTTGTTTACGTATATGTCTACGTCTCTTATCTAGAAAGAGTTTGATTTAAAATTTTTTTTTTAAATTTTAATTAAATTTTTATTAAAATTTTTTTTTTTAGAAAAAAACACTTTTTTTTGGAGGATTCTGGCCTAAGGTATATAGTTTCTCTTGATTGAAATTTATGAAATAGTTTTTAGGAAATTAAGACCACAAATTAAAGAAGTCCCGCCGAAAATCGCTTAAGTGAAATTGAAAATAAATACTTTCGCCTAAATAATCTTAACGCTGAGTAATACAGGAATTGATTTTTAAAAATTCAATATTTAAGGTGTAATAAGAAATCTTCTAGTGCAAGACACATAAAGCTTTTTCTCTCATAACCGTTATTATTACGAGTATATATACCACATTTTCTAAAATTTTCATTGTTAAAAAAATGTAAATTTCTTCACTGCAGTTCGCTTGAAATTGTCAACTTTTCATCAGCATGACTTTTTTCATAAGAATTTACTACTTTTTTTTAATTAATTAATGGTTTTTCTGAAAATTCCAATTAAATGCTGGTACAAGGAAATAGCATTAAGCCGTAAAACGCTCCCGGTGACTTGTTTGACGCTTGAAATATTTGCACTGGAAAATGTTTAAGAAATTGCCAAGAGTGATAATACAATATATGTAGATGTGTGTGAGTGTGTGTTTGTTTCTGTGTGTGTGTCATTGTGTGCATTTATATAAAATTTCTATTTTCATTTATGTCGAATTCATTTCATTTCGTTTGATTGCATTTCACTTACCACTTCATTTACAGCACGATTGGGATTAAATCCTTGGGCAGCGATTTCTGCCAGCAGGCAGCATGTAATGCCCAACAACAAAGAATTGCACAACATCAATCTCATGTTGCATACAAATAAAAAACAGCAACAACAAAAAACTGAAGCAACAATAACACAGTAAAAGTGGAAATAGAACAAATCAAATTGGAATTTTCAGTTTGTTTTTAATTATGTATATTTGCATATATATATATGTACACGTATATTAAAAGTACTGCAAGCTTCCTTCGTAATTATTTAAATTTTTGAATTTCTCTTTAATGCTGCACTTGAGTGGTGGAAGAGTTTCAAAAACACAAGCATAAAATTTTTAAAATATAAAGTTTTAATTTTTATTTTTTTATTTTTTTGTTGCTATTTTTGCCACTTTTAATATATGTTTATTTTTTGGAAATTTTTTTTTTTGGTTTTTTTTTAAATATTTTTAAATTTTTATTGCATATTTTTAAATTCAGTGTACGTTTGCGGTGAATGTCTTGGGCTTGCAAAAATAGTTTGAATTTTGGTTTTTTTTTTTTGTTATTTGTACCCGTACGGCCAATAGAAAAATCAGCAAATACGTTTAGTACGCACGCTCACGTTTCGACTATGAAGACACACTGCGCGTAAACTCACTATCACTTGTGTCTTGTGTGTTTATTTCTTGACTCTGTTGGCTCTTAGCTAAGTTATTGGCGTACACAGTTGCAGACGCAGTCAACTGGACTGGTAAAAGTTCGGCGTTTAACTGAAATTCACATTCACAATTGGTAACAATTTTAAGTCAAAGACGCTTGTTGCGCTGCGCTGCGCTGCACTACTTATGGTTGTTGCTATTGCCACCAACGACAACTGGTTCGTTGCTCGTTAGCTCGTTCGTTTGCTCAATACCATGCGGAGCGACTGCTGCTATTGATGTTGTTGGCTAACTGCTCATTTATTGCTCGTGGCTCGTCTTGTCGTCGTTACCACTACTGCTGCTGCTGTTGCTGTTGCTTGTAAACAGAAGATGCCAGCGTCTTGGCTATTGGCTGCTTCTTAAATCGAATGGGAAGAAGCGTGTATTGAAGAAGTGCGCGCGTACACGTCTAAAGCTTGAAAGCGACTGAAATGCAAGCGTATAGCCACCAAGCTCACAGGTGATGCGTTATTCGTTGATGATGATGTTGATGTTGGTGGCTGACGATGAGACTGCTCATCAGTAGCCAGCACAGCTGTGGCAAGTCGAAAAATTCAAAAGCGTTTGAGCCGCAAGCATAAACCACAATCAGCGTACCGGCCGCCGTAGCCGCAACCCCACGAACGTCAGTCAAGTGGGACGCTCTTACTGGCAGTTGACTGAGTTTGCACGGCGGCTTGGCGTGACTTGGCTGGAAGCGTAGTAGCCGCTGCTTGACTGTAATGATGATGATGATGACGATGATGAGGATGGAGATAAACCCAGACTAGCACTACGTTTGTGCCCACAATAGGCGCTACAGCACAAGCAGCAACAACAAGCAGTGAACTCAACAACTCAGCGGAGTAGTGAATTACTCCAGCTGTTGCATTTTATGCCGCCTTCTCTCGTCATTCACTTAACTCATTCGCTTGCTGCCTTACCTTGCCTTCCATACATACATTCATACATATATACACACGCGTATACTTTCTTGTTTGTGCTATTGTTGCTGTCGCGTAACCGACCGACCGCCTGCAGTCGTCAGTCGTCGCCTGTGTGCGTGGGAAAAAAGCATGTAGAATTGCGAATTAAAGTGTAGGAAACACTGTACGATTTTTGCCAGTTCGCTTTTGCTTCAACTGCCGCCACCGCCGCCGCCGCCTCCACCTCTGCCTCTGCCGCTATTGCCGGCGGCATCAACCAAAAGAGAGAGAAAGTGGTATGTGCGCGGGCACATCTTTGTTGTTTTTAATGCGGTCTTCTTCTTTTGCTTTAGCGGCTTTCGTTTCTTTTTGTTGCTGACTGCGAATACTTGTTGCTCAGTGTTTTGTTGTTGTGTGGTGTGGTGTGGAGGTTTTGCTTTGATTTTGCGCGAAATGAATCTTAGGTTTGTATGTTGTTAGACGTGTTGTGAAAGTGTTGCGGCAACATGTTGCTAAGGTAAGAAATACGTTGGTTACAATAAATAATGGAGCCATTTTTTTCGAAAAAAGTCATAATTAGAAAAAAAATACTGGAGTACAGATCGATAAATTAAAACTTTGGAGAAACTTACCGAATTTGATAGTCACTATATGCGGTCGCGCCTAGGCAGGGAATGTCCATCCCTCCAAATATATTTCGGACCTGAAATAAAAACTTCTCTTTTAAAAACCATCAGCCTTTCGGAGGGGGCTTAGTATAAACTGAAGGTCGCTCCACTTATTGCAAAAACATCAAGACGCAAAACCACAAATTAGACGAGGAACTCGGCCGAAAAAATCGCTTCAGCGGTTGCAAAACGCTCTTGACTATGCAGAGCATGAGAAGCTGGCCGAAGACGGTAATGCTCGAAAATTTAACGAAAAGAACTCGCGACTCATAAAAGGTTTCAAGACCAAGAAATGATCTAGCGACTGATGTCCCGAGTATACCGACTTTATGGAGAGAACACTTGTCCAGCCTGCAAGGTGATGACGAAACTGATTCTCCAATCAATAACAATGGAATAAATATTTCAAGTGTATCATGAAAAAGTGCGAAAGCAATCGGTCGCTTGAAAAACAACAAAGCGTATGGATTACCGGCTGAGCTATTACCGCGGTGAAGAACTGATAAAGTACATGCATCAGCTTCCTTCCAATAAACGGCCGGATGAAAGCCTTCCCGATGGTCGGTAACTAAACGTGCTCTGCCACAAAAAGGGCGATCCCACAGTGCGCAGCAATTACCGTAAGATTAGCCTCCTTAATATCGCTTATAATGTCTTTTCGAGTGTATTGCGTGAAAGACTAAAGTCCAGCGTTGACATTCTGATTAGAACTTAGGAGTGTCACTTTAGACCTGGTAAGTCAACCATTGATCAGATATTCCTCATGCATCCAAGATCCGTGAGGAGAAGATCGACACATACCACCACTTTGTTAATTTTAAAGCAGCCTTTGACAATACGAATTGAAGCTGCCTTTACGCCCCTATGTCTGAATTTGGTATCTCCGCAAAACTTATACGGCTATGTAAACTGACCGTAAGCAACACTAAAAGCTCCGTCAAGATCGCGAAGAACCTCTCAGAGCCGTTCGATACCAAATGACGATTCCTAATCGTGGAACTTCTGCTGGAGAAAATAATGCGAACTGCAGAGCTGAATAGAGAAGGTGCAGTCTTCTATAAGAGTGTACAGCTGCTGGCACACATCGAAGATATCGACATTGTTGGCCTCAACAGCAACGCTGTGAGTTCTGCTTTCTCCAAACTCGATAAAGAAGCGAATCAAATGGGTCTGGTAGTGGACGAGGGCACAACAAAATAACTCCTGTCATCACTGCATTCGTGACGTTTTTGTTGACAGTCATAGCCTTGAACTCGTAGATAACTTTGTCTATCTTGGAACCAATATTAACACCAACAACAATGTCAGCCTGGAAATCCAACGCAGAATCACTCCTGTCAACAGATGCTTCTTGAAAATTAAATTAAAGTCCGATTTCCATGAACTATGATACAACTCTACAAGTTGCTCATCATTCTTCAAAATGCTTGGCACTCACCGAATTTATTAACTGGACAAAATCCACAGGAATTTGAATTTTCTCGAGTAAGTCTTTATTGGAACATTTATTCAAGCTGCCGGATGATAGTACAGACCAAAATATCTAAAACCATGGAAGCTATAAAATACATTAGTATCATTATTTCATATTGTTGGTGTTGCTGAATTACGCCTAGGAGTACACGAAATGAATCTAAGTCGTCAAAGTCATCTAACGGGAGAGTACGTTAACGGGATATTTTGGCGGGTTCAGACCAGAGGAGGAGAAGCTTCATATGCATTAGCATCAGCCTCATGCCGGAGTATCTCTGCACTAATAATAAGAAAAGGATTCCCATCGTCGTATCTAGTGCATTATGCGAAATATTGAAGCCTACTGTAAACGAAGTGATTCGACCTTTTACGACGTGTGACAATAAAGTAATGAGACTGATAATATTGCCGCAATTATGGTAACCCTGCGACCTTTAAATTTCCTTTTCGTTCTCGCGGCATCCTTCTTCTCTCCATTTATATATTGGGTTGCCCAAAAAGTAATTGCGGATTTTTTAAAAGAAAGTAAATGCATTTTTAATAAAACTTAGAATAAACTTTAATCAAATATATAATTGCCATTTTGTACGATAACCTTTTGCCATCTTCCTGGCAAATTTTGTATTGCACGCTCATAGAACTTCTGGCCTTTATCTGCAAAAAACTGAACCAAGTGCGATTTTATAGCCTCATCATTGCCGAAAGTTTTACCATATAAGGAGTTCTGCAAAGATCGAAATAAATAGCAGTCTGATGGTGCAAGGTCAGGGCTATATGGTGGATGCATCAAAAGTTCCCAGCCAAGCTCACTCAGTTTTTGGCGAGTGACCAAAAATGTGTGCGGTCTAGCGTTGTCCTGGTGGAATATAACACCTTTACGATTGACCAATTCTGGTCGCTTCTCATTGATGGCTGTTAACAGTACACATCCGAATTAATCGTTTGATTAATTGTAAGCAGCTCAAAATATACCACACCCTTCCAAACCCACAAAACAGACAACATAACCATCTTTTGGTGGATATCAGCCTTTGAAGTGGTTTGAGCTGGTTCACCATGCTTGGACCATGATCGTTTTCGACTAACGTTGTTGTAAACAATCCATTTTTCATCTCCAGTTATGATTCGTTTTAAAAACGGATCGAATTCATTGCGTTTAAGGTGCATATCACAAGCGTTGATTCGGTGTGTTAAATGAATTTCTTTCAATACATGTGGTACCCAAATATCAAGCTTTTTCACCAGTCCAAGACTTTTTATGTGATAATGAACGGTTGATTTTGGTATATTTAACTTCTCTCCTATCTCACGCTCAGTTACATGACGATCCAATTCGATTAATGCTTTGATTTGGTCATCATCAACTTCATTTGGCCGACCTGAACGTGGCTCATCTTTAAGTGAAAAATCTCCAGAACGGAATTTGCGAAACCAATTTTGACACTGTCTTCCTTTTAAGGCTTCATCACCATACACATCTCGTAACTTTTTAGCAACCTGCTCCGCGTTTTTTCCTTTACGGAAATAATAAAGTAAAATATGACGAAAATGCTCCTTTGTGGGCTCCATATTAAAATTGACGCCAAACAAACAAATGTAAACAAAATTTCGCGCACTTTTTTTCTAAAGCAAGCTAAAAGTAACAGC